AATCTGATCTTGATGCTCTTTATCGAATGGCTTTACAAAATCAAACAGCTTATAAATCTGTCGAACAGAAACGTATTGAAGAACGTAAATTGCATGATAAAGAATTTGCTTCACAATATCGAGCTCTCAAAGGTAGCATGCGATCGCTTGGTTTTACTAATAAAACTAATTAACTTAATTTTTCTTGTAGATAATTATGTTTTTCTTTTTTGTGATACAAACTATAGAAAAAATAAATAAAAATCTGCTTTTAATTAACTTCATAATAAAAGTAGCGAAAGTGAAATAAATCTTAGAATTAATTATATTTTGTTTTCCTGAACGCTATTATTGCAATACAGTGGTCGTAAGAAGTCCCACTACCGGGTAAAAAGTACATAAACTTCAAACATTTTGTCTGATATTTTCATTATAAACAGAACTCGGTAAACACTGACCGCAAGCAGCAACTCGAGATCGATTGATTGAAGAAAATTTCAAAGCAAAATGATTAAAATTAGCCAGAGATATTGGTTACTTTCCGATCAAGGCAAATTGCCATAGAAGTTTTATTGGTGATAGAGACAGCACTGAGCTATTGAATGAGGACTCTATCGTCATCAAATTTGTTTTCTATAGTGAGATATCCTTATCTGAAGATAAATTTGTGGTCAAACTATGAGATTAAAGTTTAGATACTTAGCAAGACTTTTTTGGACTACTGTATTATCTAATTTACATCACACTTCAAATTCAATCAACACCTACAGCTATTCATGATATTACATTAAACTTGTGTTAAAGAACGAGTACTCTATGTTATTATATATTGGAATAAATGGAAAAATTTTTTAAACTAATTTTTGTGAACATAGACAAAATTATGCGTAAGCAAATGTGGAAAAAAAAAGTTGATCATCACCAGTAAAAACTAGCAGATCGAAATATTTAATTAGATCAGATGATTCTGTTTTAGTTTTTTATATGACAGTTAAATAATCCTATAGTTGTTTCCTTTTTTGTAGAATAATTTTCTCATTAGCACAATTAGATTGAATCTATTAGATTCACCACAATTCTGACTTTTGGACTTGTAAACACTCAAATCGAGTGTAAATTCATACAATTTTACAATCTTTGTTTTAAAAGAAACTGCTGCTACTGTATTGTCATGGATAGTTAGCTTAATATTTAAATAAAAACAAATAAAACTTTATCATTGTATTACTAGAGATGAAAGAAAGTTCATGTAGAATCAAGTTTAATAAATGTTATTTTATTTTTTTGTCAATATGATAAACAAAAACTTAAATATAGAAGATATTGTATTGATAATAAAAATAAATCACGTATACCCTAACGGAAGGATATGCGCAGATGAGAAAAATTACTTCATAATTTAATGCCATACATACACTCACATATATTAAAGGAATGCAAAAACAAATGTCTATGCACCCACCCACTCATATCCAACAATTGACAGAAACATCGGTTTATCAATCGATAGGATGACAGAAGAAAATTGATTGATGACATATTTTGTTCCTTCAAATCATTGTATATTTGACAGCTGAATAACATCAAAAACAGTAGATGACAAATCCGTAGTCATTGACATTTTGATCATATAACTAATAAGATCAACATAAATTGTTGCATATTGTTTAATAAAAACTAAACGTGGCTGTGGGTGTGGATGTGGAGGGGTATGACTATGGATATGAACCCTCCCTTCAATCACACCCACACCCACACCCACACCCACACCCACACCCACACCCCACACCCCACACCCCACACACCCACACACCCACACCCAGCCGCCCACACCCACACCCACACCCTAGCCACCCACACCCACACACCCACACCCACCCACACCACACCCACACCCACACACACCCACACCCACACCCGCCGACACCCACACCCGCCCACACCCACACCCACTGTCGAAATCTAATTGGTGCATAGTCAAACTGTGAAAATCTATGATTGGTCCAAATAGCCATTCTCGAAATCTCGATGGTGCATAGCCCAACTGTGAAAACCTATGATTGGTCCAAATGACCACTGTCGAAATCTCATTGGTGCATAGCCAAACTGTGAAAACCTACGATTGGTCCAAATAACCACTCTCGAAATCTCATTGGTGCATAGCCAAACTGTGAAAACCTATGATTGGTCCAAAT